AGGTATATTACTTACTTATCTACGCTACTTGCTTATTAATTATGTTATAATTAGCTACTTTAGCTTTTAAAGTAAGTTTTAATAGTTTTTTATATTTCTATAGTTAACTTACTAGTAGCTTAGGTGCTGAAAGTGGGACTGACTACCTGAAAGGGAAGGCGGTGGTTCGGGGCAGCGAATTTGCAACGACCTACTTTACCATACCAATACTAACTCAGACCAGACTATTCCGATCACTGGTCCCGGGCGGCCCTAAAACGAACCAAGGCCGCGTCAGTCATCTTTGACAGAGATGGTAACACTGGAGTACCTTCGGCTAGGGCTCTTGCTGTTGGTCTTGTCGCTGACTAGCTATGCACACAAATATCAATGTCCGCAGGCCTTTTACTTCGCCTGTAAGACCCTCTTTGTCCTGCAGTTTCGGGTCGCCAAATTCGAGTCGATCACGGACGAGAACTGTCAAGTAGACTGCTGGATCCTCCCAACTGAAACTAGCTATCGCACGTAGCGATATGCTCTTGATCGACTGTTGATGCACGGCTGGAGAAGGTGCCAAGGCATGTTGGGTGGCCAGGTCAACGTCGGTGGGTTGAGTTGTCAAAGAGAGTTTTGTAATGGTACCCATGAGCCAGCGCGCAAAAACGACGTCTTTATCCGAATGTGGACTTGTGCTAGAGCCAGCCTGCCAATCGTGCAAACAACGAACTAACTACTTCCGCCCGTCCTTGTATAAGTACCGGCCAGACACGACTGTCTAGATTAGGACAAGGCGGACGAAGATCGGGTAGAGGCAATCATAGCGGCTGGAATGGAAGCTAATCCCTTTCCGAAAAGAAGAGGAATGCATAAGATCTAAGGAGGCTGCAGCAGCGGATTATGCGGCACAAGAGGCCATATATTCAGACAACTAGAAGACTAGAAATCGATCACAAAATCTTGACTGCAGCGTGGCTGGTCGGTGGAGGAGGGGTTGCGCCAAAGGTAAAATTTTAAATGCGCGCCCCTGTATTGGCCGTCACCTGAAAGGCCTGCTTCTTCCGGTCACAACGAACACAATTTTACTAAGTTTGGTCATGATCTGGCTATGATACGGCTACTACTATATCAAGGTTCGATTTCTAAAGGTAAGGCCGTTTCCGTTAGATGAATAACGTGTGTATCTTAACACCCCCGTCAGATCATAGTCATAGACCAGAATAGTATCAAGAAAAGATGTCTATAGAGCTAGGTGGTTTCCCTACTTAATTCAGCTTTAAGCTATAGTTATAAAGTTATAAAATTATCAAGTTATATCCGTTTCCGTTAGATAAATAACGTGTGTATCTTAACACCTCCGTTAGATTATAGTCATTGACGAGAAATAGTCTGAAGAACAGATGTCTATAAAGCTAGGTAGTTCCTCTAGCTAATTTGCATGTATTGTTCGGATATAGAAGGAATCTACCTCGACAACGTCAAAATCCTCTTCATCTAAACGTGTTACAACCTATATCCCAAACCGACTAACCCAAGACTTACTTGTACCATGCAAGACCTGCCCATCGACAAGCCACCATCTTTCCACGCCTCTCAGCATGGAGAAGTTCCTAGCGAGGATGACATGGGGTTTAATGACCCCCAAAATATCTTGTATACCAATTTGCAGGGTGAAGGCCTCCCCGAAAGATTCAGGGAGCGGCTGGCCGAGCTGGAGCAAATGCTCCAGCTGACTCACCAGCTTGTCACGATTCACTGTGGAATTCAGGTAAAGAGGAGGAAAGAAGAAGGAGTGCTGCCGAGCGACGCTAGCGAAGAGTCTGAGTGGAGGCGGGCTGCGTACCGAGTTAGGGTCATGGAAACGTACTTCCAGGACGGTATTTATCCATGGTATGCAGATGCCCGACCCCGAGTGAGCGCTATGTAAAGCTAACTATAATCTAGGTTTGTCAGCCCGGGGCCATCAACTTGTACTGAAAATATCGCGGTCGAGAGAAGCCGGTTTCACTGGGAATTGCTCACAAAATGGCTCATGGGGATTTTGCTTCCTCGACCAGTTACGACGTCAGTTGAGGCCATCTTTCAGTCGATTGGTGAAACCATCAAAAGCACTAGAAATACCTCTGAGAACACGCTTTTCTTGGGTATATTACAAGTTTTTACATATGATGAGATACGAGATGATCTTCGTACATGTAAGTACACCTCAAAACTGATGTATGGAGGATGTTTCTGACTAGAGTCAATCAGCAATTCGGGGCATCAAGTATAAATTGGATCAACGAACGCATGAAATTGTCCGCATGAAAAGTAGTCAGACCTCGATCGAGGCGCTCTTAGCTTATGACCAAGCTAACTACATGTTCAACGAGCGAACTTGGCAGATGATGAAGCCCGAGGTGGAAAAATATATCCTCGAGACTGGAATCGGCAATATCCGCGATCCCCCATCGGTCCCAGTCTAACAGCTCTCATTGCCTGCAAACAAAACTCGATTCGCAGTATATCAGGTATACTCGCAACCGCGCTACCGCTCTACTTTGAGTGATTCTGCAGACATGTCGGCGGAGAGTTTTATGACGAAAATGGTGACTACTTGAGCTGATCTCGGGCTCTCTATGGAAGGCTTTACGGGGCAAGATGGCATCTATTCTACACCATTGCATCATCCAATCAATTTGCGGTCACATTGAAATCCCATGGATTAGTCATTGAATCCAGAATCCCATCGATAGTCACCCGATAATCGTTCAATCCCGAGCCTATTTATCGTACAGCGTTTGTCGCGTATCCATGCGTCGGCCTTCTCAAGCAGTGATGAGGTTTTTCTCGCCTCTGCCAGTTTCATGCACAGCACATCGGTGGGCTGGCCGAATAGTAAGGATCAGGAGTAAATTGTTTGCCATGCTGGTGCTCCACGTGTGCTGCCCATTGAATGGCAGCTACAGGGACGACAAGATGCCCAGCTTTCCGTCATGAAGGACACTCCAATGCCACTTCGAGATTTTCTCACTAGTTGTACTCTTCCTGTCATCATCCTCTAACTGTAGCAGGTGTG